CTTCCAGTTCAGCACATAGAATTCATAGGGGTGCTGCTAGATTCCCGAGTAGCCACGGCCTCTCTCCCACGAGACAGGTTTGAGACGCTCAAGGCTCTCATCGCCTCCGTCACGGCCTTTCCGATAACCACGGCACGCGTGTGCCTTCAAATACTAGGCCACATGGCAGCATGCACCTATGTAGTGCAACATGCCAGGCTTCGGATGAGGCCCCTCCAGCTTTGGCTGGCCTCCCGGGACTCCCAGGCCAGGGACGGCCTGGACAATGTTGTCACAGTGCCACCCAGGGTGGTGGCAGACCTCCAATGGTGGTCCCTCCCGAGCAACATGCTCCGGGGTATCCCCTTCCGAGAGCCCCATCCCTCACTAGATCTAGTGTCGGACGCCTCGGACCTGGGCTGGGGAGCCCACGTGGGGGATTTCAGGACCCAGGGTATGTGGTCACCAGAGGAGCTAACCCTGCACATAAATCTCAGGGAGCTCAAGGCCGTACGCCTGGCATGCGTGGCATTTCGCCAGCACATACAAGGGAAGGTGGTCAGAGTCCTCACGGACAACGCGACCGCCATGTACTACATCAACAAATGGGGGCACGCGTTCCTGGGCCTTATGCCAGGAAGCCCAGCTCCTGTGGGAGTTTTGTATAGCCCACAGTATACTCCTGCGGGCCTTTTATTGCCCGGCAAGAGCAACACGCTCGCAGACTGCCTGAGCAGGGTATTCTCCCAGCAACATGAGTGGTCCCTCCACAAGGAGGTGACCAGGTGGATCTTCCTACAGTGGGGTGCTCCCCAGGTAGACCTGTTCGCCACCGCCCAGAATCGACAGTGTCCTCACTCCGCTTCTGCTCCAGAGCGGGAGAGGGCGAAGGAGCCATATCGGATGCGTTCCTGCTCCCATGGTCGGGGCCTCTTTTGTACGCCTTCCCGCCCTTCCCCTTAATAGACAGGGTCCTACAGAAGGTGAAGTCAGACGGGGCGAGGATGATCCTCATAGCCCCGGATTGGGCCCGTCAGCATTGGGTCCAGTACGGGTCCCTGCTGCAACTCTTAGCGGCCCCTCTTTGCAGGCTGCCGCTACGCCCGGACCTCCTCTCCCGGGAGGAAGGTCGCCTCCTCCATCCCAACCTAGCCACGCTCCATCTGACCGCATGGCTGCTTCGTGGTTGAATGAGGAGGAGGGGAGGTGTTCTGAGGATGTGAGAAGGGTCCTGCTGGAAAGTAGGAAACCCTCCACGCGGCGAACCTACCTGGCTAAGTGGTATAGGTTCTCTATGTGGGCGAGGGATAGAGGTTCCTCTCCCTCTTCCGCCCCTATCCAGCTTGCCCTCAATTACCTCCTGTCCCTTCGGACCCAAGGCCTGGCGCCCTCCTCCATCAGGGTGCACCTGGCAGCCATTTCGGCCTTCCATCCCCCGGTGCAGGGCCTGTCTGTGTTCTCACATCACATCACGGCCCGGTTTCTGAAAGGGTTTGATCGGGCATTCCCTTACGCCAGACCCCCGGTCCCGCTTTGGGATCTAAACCTGGTACTCTCCCGCCTCACAGGGCCTCCTTTTGAGCCGTTAACCACTTGTTCGTGGTCCCACCTGTCGTGGAAGGTGGCGTTCTTAGTGGCTATCACCTCAGCCCGCTGGGTCTCCGAGCTCAGGGTCCTGACCTCTGAACCACCATATACGGTCTTTCATAAGGACAAGGTTCAGCTCCGCCCTCACCCTGCCTTTTTGCCGAAGGTAGTCTCGGCTTTCCATATGGATCAAGATATTTTCCTCCTGATCCTCTGTCCTAAGCCCCGATCCTCTAATGAGGAACGCCGCCTGCACATGTTAGACGTGCGCAGAGCGCTGGCCTTTTACTTGGACAGAACCAGGCCATTTAGAAGGTCCCCCCAGCTTTTTATTGCTTCGGCCGAGCGCATGAGGGGGCGACTGGTCTCCACCCAGCGGGTCTCCCGCTGGATCACTTTGTGCATTCGCACCTGCTATGACCTGGCAGGGGGTCTCCCCGCCTCCTATAGTGAAGGCTCATTCGACTAGAGCCCAGGCCTCGTCCGCAGCCTATGTGGCTCATGTCCCTATTCAGGACATTTGTAGGGCTGCTACGTGGTCCTCTGTCCACACTTTCTCATCGCACTATGCGAGCGTCTCCGAAGCAAGGGATTACACCGGGTTTGGTAGGGCGGTAACCCCTAAAAATTTTTACACTTGAAACTCCTACCCGCCTCCATCAGGGATAGCTTGGAGTCACCTATAGTGGAATACACATGAGCAATCACTCGAAGAAAGGACAGTTACCTGTTCCGTAACTGGCGGTCTTCGAGATGTGTTGCTCAGGTGTATTCCACATCCCGCCCTCCTTCCCCTCTGTCGGAGTTGTCTGGCAAGAAGGAACTGAGGATGGGGGGAGCACGCAGCCCCCTTTATGGTGCGATATGTTGGCGCCACTCCGGGGTCGCAGCGGTGCTCCCCCACTACGGATACTGCTAAGGGAAAAACTTCCGGCACCGGTGCACGTGGTGAGCACGCACACCTGTGGTGGAATACACCTGAGCAACACATCTCGAAGAATGCCAGTTACGGAACAGGTAACTGTCCTTTTTAAATCAGGTTCCTCAATGCATATAGTAATAGTATATTTACGTGTATATACTGAAATAGCCATACACTTGGTACATTTATGTGTAATATATTAATTGGAGTCGAGTTAATTCTTGAAGTAGAGGTTGATTAAGTGATAGGCTGACAGTGAGGATGTAATGGTTGAAGTCAACTTTTGAAGACCTTTTTACCCACATAAGGCACCTTTTTCAAGTCAATGGACAATTGGTTTTATGGGGGGGAAACTGTTAGTTAAAAGCTGTAATAAATTGTATATTTAACAATGAGTAATTCTTCCTTCCTCTTTGCATATCCTCTTGTTCCTTCACTCCTCTTTGTTCATTGGAATTTCTTACCTGCAAACTGCAGTGCCAACCTGGTTTCCTGCTGAGATGCATTAATCTATGGCTTTAGAACACAGAAACACTGGCTGCTGCAACATTTATTTTAGCATGCAGAGCTCCAGATACTCATCATATGTCTTCCTGGTGTGCTGCACATAAGTATGTTTATTTAAAAAGGAAAAAAAGTGGAAATTCATGCAAAGTGCATTAATAATTAGTTGTATTAGAATTGTTATGCCCGTGCACTTCCTTTCCCCTCCAATCATATTCCCAATCTCAGCCTTAGAATGGGTTCTTCTGCACCTTTGACTAATGCTGCTGGTGCTGTTGTTAATGGAAAGCTCCCCGGATACTTGCCCTCCTGTCCTTCTAGGTGGCCCTGAATCTCTCTCATTTTATGGGTGATTATTTCTGTCTGCTCATGGCTGGCTGTGGATCTTTAGTCTGGGAGACAGTTATTGATAGAAATAGCTATCTTTCTTTTTTTGAAGATTTACATCAGCCAGTACTTCATCTTGATGCTTGCCTCATCTATTTGCCGTATCATATCCTTTTATTTAAAACTGCATGTGGATCCCACAGTGGTGTCAGCAGAATGCTTTTCCTTGCAATATGAAAGTTGAGGAAAAATACGGGGAGGACCAAAGGGAAACGTGGAAGCAATCTTTCTTTTGGAAAATTAATCTTAACTGCACTAATTTTAAAATGGCTCTACTCGAAGAACCATCCTAACCATGCTTTAAAATTAAGATTCAGAACAAGTTGTTGTGCTATAATTCCTAAGCAATTGCTTTTCGTTGTCAACTACTAGTGTTATTTATTAATATGCAAATTAAAATATGTATGACAGATTGCTCTTGTGGTTAAAATTTCTGACCTATCTTCTAAAAAAAAAAAGTGTTTGGTTGAACTGCCAAATCCTCATTACGTAACTGATCCTTCAAATTCATATTGAAGTCTGTACATTGATGGAGCTGTTACTGTACCAGAATGAACTTGGTGACTAGGAATTTAGTTTATAACATTATTAATTCCATCATAAAATTATTGGCTGATATTTTCAAAACAGCTCTTAGGGTTCAGCTCATGTATTTTCCTGTCCTGGGGAAAAAATTGAGATTTTGAAAAATTTCACATCCTAATTTGTGACCCAGCCTCAAATTTTCAGAGACCCGGAGGAAAAAAATCAGTTTGGGTCAATCAAAATGTATTGTTTTGAAAATTTCAGGTGTTTCATTTTGATGTTGATTTTAAAAAAATGTTTTATTATAAAATTAGCCTAAATTTGAAAATGAGTATTTGTTTTGAAACAAAAAACTGGAAATTTTCACTTAAAAATGACAAAATGGGATGTTTGGGGGAAAAAAAAGTTTTGAAATTATTCAAAAGGGTTTTTTTTTTTTTTTTTTTTTTTTTTGGGAAATAAGAAATTTTTTGAAACTGGCCCTTTCCTGTGAATAGCTTTGGTTTTGATGGATCAGCATTTTTGGCTAAAAGAGTTTTGATCAAAAAATTCCCGACCAAGCTCTGCTAATGAAAGATGTGTGTCTAAGGTCCTGATCCTGCACTACTGAAATCAGTGGGCACAGGATAATTCCTCCATATCTTTTAGACATCTTTGAAAACCTTGATAATTTTATATTGAAATCAAAGGACACTGGTGTGAGAGGGGTATGTGTGTATTACTATCCCCTCCTTCCCCCCCACCCCTGATTTGAAATGGACCTTTTGGACTTTAGCAACATTAAATGAAAATTAGTTTCCCCAACTGTTTTTTCCCATTTTATTTAGTTTAGTTTTTGTCTAGAAGCCTGGGCTGCTGAAATAATGTTTTTTTTTTTTTGTTTATGTGAAGGTATTGTATGTAGTGGAGAAAGATGCACAAATATTAAATGTTTTTTGAAAATGGATCTAATCTAACAGCAAAGAAGTTGAACGTTGGACCTTGGAGCCATAATGTTGTTCTATTGCAGTGAGGCAGGGTCTGATGCTTTGTTTTCCTAAATATAGAAGAATGTGAACATGATTTTGTTGGTATTTTTTCTTTGCCTTCTCTGCAGGAGAGATCAAACACATTTTAGAAAATGAACTTCAGATTCCTGTATCGAAAATGTTGTTAAAAGGCTGGAAGACTGGAGACGTAGATGATAGTGTAAGTTTCCTACAGTTTTATCAGTGAAGTGATTTAAATGTTTGAAACCAATAAGTGCTTGTAAGTGAGCATAAAAAACACAAGGACTGTTGATTTCTACATTATTTTGATTCTAGTAACATTATTAAAGAATCAGTTCACTTAAAATGTTGGTGTGAAAAGAATCAACTTCTGTAAACCAATTTAGTTATCTATATAAGTCTGTACCACTGTTCATTTATTGTTCTTCTTAGCCTAAAGGAGCTGCTGTTTTGTCTGCCTGTCTGTGTGTTTTAGAAAGGATTCTCCTACAAACGTAGTAGTTTACTATGGCAGATCAAGGAATTATTTTCAATATGTGTATTTTAACTAATTTAAAAAAAAAATCAAATAATTTTTAAAAAAGGCAAATGATAAAAAAAAACCCATAATCTACAGTTTTTGAACAAATGTTTTCTTTTTTTCCCCTGCAGACTGTATTAAAAACTCTACACTTACCAAAAAATAACAGTCTTTATGTTCTAACACCTGATCTTCCACCACCTTCTTCAAGTAATTCTGGGTAAGGCTCTTTGTCATACATTTATGATTAAGAATTTAGATGGTGCTTTATTTTATCTCTATGGAAAAACTGGGGTAAACTTTCAAAAGAGCATCTGCCAGGTCTCTACTGGCGTGCATGTAAAACTCAGTGTGCACTTACATGCATCTGCACTTAATAGGTGCAAACACTTTTTAATATATAAGCAGTGGTGCAAGTAGAATTTATTTCTTACCGGTACGCTGCACATAGGCAACTCATGGGAGGGACACAAAGGGGGGGCACCAGCTAAAGGGGGGCACATGACCTCTCCATGTGCCCCCCCCACGTGACTCCTCCCCAGAGAGGGAGGATGGGGGGCGGCGGGGGCTCTGTCCTCCCGCTGTGCTGGATACAGACTTCTGAACCACAGCTCTTCGGAACCGCAGCAGTGAAAGGAGCAGACACAGGAGCAGAACCTGGCACTACTGGGCAGCCCCATGCAGGCAGCTTCTCCAGCATGGCTGTACCGCCCCCAGCCCCAGCCCTAGCCCTGTCCTCTGGCGGGGGGGTCTACAGACCCCAGACAGGAGATGCAGCTGCGTGGAACAGATGGGGGTGAGATTGGGGGTGGTACAACCGTGCCGGAAGAGCTGCCAGCGTGGGGCCACCCAGTGGCCCAACGTTCCGCTCCTGTGTCTTTCCAGTACGGCGTACCGGCAATAAATTTCTTAATGGTACGGTGTACCGTACTGCCCTACTTGCACCACTGTGTATAAGTCTTAGGATTTACAACCTCAAAACCCATTTATTGAAAAGAAATTTTGCAAACACAAATTCTGTAACTCTCATCTGCCATAAGATCAGACTGTATAAATTGTACATACTGTTAAGTGTGGGTAATGTATGAATGAATGCAATTTTTGTGCCCACAATAGTGGATGCTGGCGTTCAAGGATTTCTCACGTGATAGCAGTTACTTTAAACATAAAGATCTACAAATCATTACCAGGTCACCAGCAGTTCAGCCATCTTCCTTTCCAAATGGTTAAAGTGTTACACTATGCTGCCCTGTCCTGTTGGACTTGTGGATATTTGAGTGTATGTAGAGGTGCTGTATAATTCTCTACAATTAAAGGAAATTTAAATTCTCTTCCATGTTACACTTTAGTGTTTTAAATTCTCAAATAAAGACGTACTATATTAAAATAGCTTAATGAGACATCGGTGGATATTGGAACATTTTGAAAATTAATAAATTATTATTTTCTGAAAAGTGAAACGTAATTCTCACTGCCATAAATGAATATTGGAGAGACCAGATGGGTGAGGTAATATCTTTATTGGACCAGCTTTTGTTGGTGGGAGGGACAAGCTTTCAAGCTTACGCAGAGCAGCCCTTCTTCAGTGTACTCTGAGTGTCACAACTAAATAGAAGGTGGAACAGATTGTTTAGCATAAGTAGTTATTATTCTTATACTTTGCCAAAAATTGTTTCCAAATTGATATTTCTTTTTCCCAAAATGTAGAACAATACATGTAACTAGTAAAAAGCTAGGTAACATTATACATTGCCACTAGGGGGTGCACAGTAATTGAGTCTAATAGCTATAATTGTAGTCTAACTAAAAATCAAGAAAGTAGACATAGTTGAATTGTGAGTTGAGCCACATGTTGCCACTTGTTTGCAATTTATTCTAATAGTCTTAAGAAATGTAACCTAACCTTGTAACTGGATAGAAGAACTTTGGACTCTCTGCAAGAGAGAGTTGCCAACACAATCATGTCACTGATGATAATGATTGAGAATCAATTGGAAAAATAAGTCTTGTATCTTAACTACTAGTAATATATATTCCAATATTATCATAAGACATTTGCTCACAAAAGTCTGCTTCACAGAGGCAATGAATAATACCCTGGCTTGGATTTTAAAAGTCATAAGGGAGTTAGGTACTCAATTTGCATAATATTTCAATGGGAGTTTGGGTGCTTATTCCCTTTCAATCTTAGCATCTATGTGGTGTTTTCACACTGGTATATTAGTGGTTGTGGTGCTTAAGAGCTGCATTGGGCAATGATTTAAGGCTCCCAATTAAGCATTTAAACTAAACTGTAAAGCAGCTTCAGGGTTGGGGAGGAAAGGGGTTAGATGGTAGAGAAGGAATGAAAAATACAGGTTTGTACATCATCTTTAAAAATCTAAAGATTAATTCCCCTCCTTTCCTCACCCTTTTATGGATTGATATAGAGATATTCCTGTATAGTTTGAGGGTTCAGCCATGTATCGTTGGAGGTTGGTCATGCACCACAAAGTCTCATATCCAAAATGCCTATTAGAAAATAGCTTTAGCTAGTGTGACCGGAGCTATATGTTGAAGTCAGTGGGACTACTCATGTGGTTAAAATTAGGTATGAGTTTAATTAACGTGCTGAATCAGAATCTAGAGCCTTAGAAGCTTGGGACTAGGTTACATGAAAAACTGCCTTTCCTCGTGTTATAGCGCCATGGCTGTGATAAGTAGAGGCACTCATACAGGAATGTCCTTGCAGTTTTTTCAAAAAATATGGGGGGCGGGGACTGTCAGTAACCTATTCTGTGATAGTTTGTGAACTTTTAGAATGCTCTTCACCCCATTGGACCACCAGAGTCAGACTTGTTAATCTTTTGGACATGGCAAAGCTCATCTATTTTAGAAGTGCAGGCATTTGGACAGGCCACACAGTGAGGGGTTAAAGGGGCGATATTATTATTTATATTAGAGTTCTGTTTGTTGGTAGCAATTACAGTTGTAAGTGCAAGGGCAGAGAACAGTTGTGTACATGCATATAGTTGAAAAATGGTTAAATTGTGGGAAAACTTTCAGTCTTGAATTATTGAAAAATCTTTTACCAATTCTATAAGCTGGTTTTAAAAATTGCTGCCTTTCAATCCGTTTAGAAAATTCAAATCTTTTTGACCAGCTCTGGTTGTAGTATTGAAAAGTGTTTAATGTTGTAAAGATGCCCAGAGCTTGAGATGGCTGCTCCACTTTAAAATTTTATTTATTGTAATTGAAATAAAATAAACAGAGTTTAAAGGAATGCTTATATGAGTTCTGAGTCCTCTTTTATATTTTGAATGAAAATAATGTGATCATAATATTATATGACCACTTGATTTGAACACTTTTTTTAAAAATAATATTGCATTGCTTGGTAAAATCAAAGTTTATTGTCACTACTTTACCGTTTAAACTTGTTGCTCAGTGGGAATTAGTTCTGGGTATTTTAAAAATAAATTTGGAAGCTTTGGGATAGTAAATGATGATTAATTAGTGGCTACTTAAATGTGGATGATTTGAAGTTAGATCATCTCCTGAAGTCATAAATTCTAGATGAAAGGGGAAGCTTGCCACCAATTAAAGCATCAGTGGAGATCAAAACACATTTAATTGAAGCAATGTACCAAACCCAGTTACACTATTTATTGCCTACTGTTAAGTCAGTGACAATTCAGATTAGTTTGACAGCATCCCTCTTTTAAGAAATACAGGTAACTTCTATCATTAAAATGGACGTTAAGGAACTTTGCTACGTATTCATGAAATCCATCTGGATAGCTATCTGTCTATATTAGCTACTTATATGGTGACTGTTACCATAGTGTCTGTGCACCTCAAACTCTTTAATTTATTTATCTTCACAATACCCCTTACAGATGGGGAACTGAGGCACAGAGGTTAAATGACTTGCCCAAGGTCACACAGGAAGTCTGTGGTAGAGCAGTAACGAACTCAGGTCTCCCAAGTCTTAGACTAGCATCCTTACCACTGGACCGTCCTTTCTGTCTGTCTCTTCAAATGCACTGGTTTGTACTGGAGATAAATAATCATAACATATAATATCTTTAGAGTAGGGCTGTCAAGTGATGAAAAAAATTAATTGCGATTAATCAGGCGATTAAAAAAATCAATTGCGATTAATTGCACTGTTAATAATGGAATACCATTTATTTAAATATTTTTGGGTGTTTTCTACATTTTCAAATATATTGAATTTGTTTAAAACACTGAATACAAAGTGTACAGTGCTCACTTTGTATTTTTTTATTACAAGTATTTGCACTGTAAAAAAACCAAAAGAAATAGTATTATTCAATTCACCTAATACAGATAGTGTAGTGCAATCTCTTTATCATGAAAGTTGAACTTACAAATGTAGAATTATGTACAACCCCCCCACATTCAAAAATAAAACAATGTAAAATTTTAGAGCCTGCAAGTCCACTCAGTCCTATTTCTTGTTCAGCCAATCACTCAGACAAACAAATTTGTTTACATTTGCAAGAGATAATGCTGCCCACTTCTTGTTTACAATGTCACCTGAAAGTGAGAACATACAAATGATTAGCATATCGGGCACATAAATATCTTGCAATGCCAGCTACAAAAGTGCCATGCAAATGCCTGTTCTCACTTTCTGGTGACGTTGTAAATAAGAAGACGACAGCATTATCTCCTGTAAATGTAAACAAACTTGTTTGTCTTAGTGATTGGCTGAACAAGAAATAGGACTGAGTGGACTTGCAGGCTCTAAAATTTTACATTGTTTTATTTTTGAATGCGGGGGGGTTGTACATAATTCCACATTTGTAAGTTCAACTTCCATGATAAAGAGATTGCACTACACTATCTGTATTAGGTGAATTGAATAATACTATTTCTTTTGGTTTTTTGGACTTCTCTAAAGTTTTTACATTGTTTTGTTTTTTGAGTGCAGTTATGTAACAAAAAAATCTACATTTGTAGGTTGCACTTTCACGGCAAAAAGATTGCACTACGGTACTTGTATGAGGTCAATTAAAAAAAAATTTTAAATCATTTTTACAGTGCAAATATTTGTAATAAAAAATAATATACACTTTGTATTCTGTGCTGTAATTGAAATATATATATGAAAATGTAGAAGAACATCCAAAATATTTAATACATTTCAGTTGGTATTCTATTGTTTAACAGTGTGATTAAAATGGCGATGAATCGTGATTAATTTTTTAAATC